TGTAAGTATAGTTGGCAAGACAGAGCAAGAGATCTGCTCGTATGTTATTATGTTACATAAGTTTGATATGTTTTTATATATAAAAATTATGCTTACTTGAGAAACTTATGATTTTAATTGATTTCAAATATTTATCTTTTTTTTAAAAAAAAAAACCGATGTGTTCATCCATCTGATGATGATGAACTACTTGACTATATTTGTGAATGTGTGTGAAAATATTCTTATCTATTTTCATGTCATGTGGAGGTAAAAAACTTGACTGTAATTAGAAAATATAATCAATAATCTTGTTATAGTTTATTTATATAGTTCATATTAAAATTTATAAATTATCCGGTTGATGAGTAAACTCATCGAATATCAATTTTGTATTGCCATCATTGAAAAAAAAATGGTTGATAAGCATTTACCATTTTTTTCTATTTCGTATTAATCAAACTTATTTATATACTATATAATTAAACATTTTAGTTTTTCATTTATAAAAAAACATTTATTCATTTTACATAGTAAAGTAGATATGAATGGTTTTTATTTATTTTATGCATTAATATTTTTGAGATTTTTTTTAAAAAAAGTTTGATAACTATTCTTTGTATGTTCTTATGTAGTCTTTCGTAATTGTTTACCTTCCAACTCTTTTTCACACTTTATTTATTTATATTCAAAATAACTCTTTTCATATTCTATTTATTTATATTCAAAATAACATTTTGAATTTTTTATTTAATAGAAAATTTATGTTTTATGATTTGTAAAATAAGTATTTCTTTTATATGAATGATTTTACTTTATTTTTATACATAAAGCTTTCTAAGGTTTTTTTTATAAAATATTTTGAGAATTATTTTCTGTAATTTATTCAGCTATCTTTTGTATGTGTTTGCCTTCCAAATTCTTTTTCATAAACAAAGAACATAAGTTTGTAATTTTATGACTTGTAAAATAAGTATTTGTTTTTAATTTCAAAGTAATCACATTAAAAGCCCAAAAATAATTACCCAAAATATAGAAACTTAAAAAAACAAAACCCAATATATTTAAAACCCCATTTTAAAATAAAAATTGTGCTGATGTGGACACCCTAGATGGTGAGAACACTCTCTAAGTATATATATGATTTATGATTTGTATAATAAGTATTTGTTTTATATGAATGATTTTACTTTAGTTTTACACATAAAGCTTTCTAAGGTTTTGTTTTTATAAAATGTTTTAAGAATTATTTTCTGTAATTTATTCAGCCATCTTTTGTATGTGTTTGCCTTCCAAATTCTTTTTCATAAACAAAGAACATAAGTTTGTATTTTATGACTTGTAAATAAGTATTTGTTTTTAATTTCAAAGTAATCACATTAAAAGCCCAAAAATAAATACCCAAAATATAGAAACTTAAAAACAAAACCCAATATATTTAAAAACCCATTTTAAAATAAAAATTATGCTGATGTGGACACCTTAGATGGAGAGAACACTCTCTAATTATATATATGATTTACTAGATTTTTATCCCCCATTGCATGGACTTATTCATTAATTTTATTAAAATTTTATATATTTATATATATTATATTAAATTAATATTATTGTATGTTATATTTGTCTTTTGTTTTTGTTGTCCTAATATATATCTATATTGTAAAGCTATTTTTCTAATATAAATTGTCATGTATTAATTGTTATATTTTTATTGTTTATTTGTATTCAATTGATTTCTCATCTTTTTCTACATCTTCTTTTCATATATCAACAAAGTGAAATCATCATTGATCTTTCTCCACTCTCAACTAAATATTCCTTTAATTTTTTATGAAATCTACCTCATTGCCAAGCACAATTAGTCCTTTATTTTTTCTCTTTTCTTATAGCTCTTAGTCTTGCTATTCTGATTGCAATCTACTGACTTTTTCTGTTATTTCATGCAAACTTCCATCTCATTCAGTTCTGTGATCGGTTATAACTCTAAATGAGGAGAATTTTAGTTAGAGTTGGCTAGACAGAGCAAAAGATCTGTTCAAATACTACATATGTTTGATGGGTTTTTATATCAAAAAATTATGCATAGATGATAAATTATTGATTTTAATTGATTTGAGGCTTTTTTTTTTATGATGAACTACCTGACTATATTTGTGAATGTGTGAGAATATTTTTGACTATTTTCATATCATGTGAATGTAAACAACATGACTATGCTAAAAGTATAATCAATAATCTTGTTTTAACTTAATTATATATTTTTTATTAAAACTCATATATTATCCGGTTGATGAGTAATGTGGTCGCATATCAATTTTATATTACCATCATTAAGAAAAAATGGTTGATAAGTATTTGCCATTTTTTCCTCTTTCGTATAAATCAAATTCATTTATATGCTATATAATTACACACTTTATTTTTCTTTATTTATAAAAAAGTTTCATTCATTTTATTCAGTAAAGTGGATAGGAATGATTTTACTTTAGTTTTAAGCATTAATATTTTCGAGCATTTTTAAATAAGTTTGATAACTATTCTCAGCAAATTTTTCTGTCATCTTTCGTAATTGTTCATTTTTCAACTTTTTTTTTCAAATTCTGTTTGTTTATATTCGAAATAACTTTTTGAATTTTTTTTATTTCAAAGAGAATTTGTAGTTTTTATAGTTTATAAAATAAATATTTATTTAATATATATGATTTTACTTTAGCTTTATATATAAATCTTTCTAAGGTTTTTTATAAAGTTTGATAATTATTTTCTGTAAGTTTTTCGAATAAATCCTTCCAAACTTTTGTTCACAAATGAAGAATTTATAATTTTTATGATTTGTAAAATAAGTATTTGTTTTTTTCAAATTAATCATATTAAAAGCCCAAAAATAAATACCAAAATATAAAAACTTAAAAACAAAACCCAAAATATTTAAAAGCCCATTTTTAAAATAAAAATGATGCTGATGTGGACACCTTAGATAGAGGAATAACTTGCTCATTATATATACTAGATGAGTACCCGCGCGATGCGCAGATTTTTTTCACAATATAATTTTTTAAAAAGTGTAGTTACAATTTATTTTATCATATATTTAAAAACAATTGAAAGATATTGTGTATTTGAATAAACATACAATACATATTTACATATTATGTGGATATTAACTATATATGTGATCAATGGTTTATTGATAAGAAAATATGAAATATATTATACCTTATATATATAGAATATATTAAATGGATATAGTGCAATTCAGAGAAGTACTATATAATAAAAATTAATTAGAGAAACTTTTCAAGCACAACATAGATAGAGACGACTCTTTTTAACAGGTCGTATTTGTTCACGACGTAGATTTACACATAGAATGCCGTGATTTTATATTTTTATGAGCTAAAATAATTGATTTATAATTCTAATTTATACAGTTGCATTAAAGATTTTATAAATATATATATTAGGAATTTTATATCTTATTAATTTTAAAATTATTAATGGATCAAGTTTGAATAAAATAAATTATCAAATAATTATTAGTTTACAAAGAAATTGTCTTAAAGTTTATTATAATTTTGTATAAATTTTTCTTCTAACTTTTAAGGTTCAAAATATCAAATAATTGTTATTTTAATATTTGTATAATTGTTTTTATAATAATATCTTATAATATTAATTTAAAAAAGAAAACACTCTTAAATATAAAACATAAATTTTGTTAATGAATTTTAAAAACTACCACAAAATAGATATTCAATAATTGTTTTTGGATATTAAGTATATATTGTTATTAAAATATATTATTTAATTTTTCATATTCTTTTAATATTATGATTAATAATACATTAAATTTATGCATTAACTGTATTTTACATAATTTGTATTATTAAATTTTAAACAATAACACATGTCATTTTCACAATAAACCAAAATGATGAGGTGGTACTCATATGGAGAGAGTTGCCCATCTTTTATAGTATAGATGACTAGGTATATAATTCGCGCTACGCGCGAGTTTGTATTAATATTTTGGTTTATTTTTTTTAACTACTATCTTTAAAATTATTAAAAATTATATATATTTATAGAAATTTTCATTTATATAAGAGAATTTAATATAAAATGTGTAATTTATCCTATATTTATTTATAAATTTTAAAAAACTATTAGGTAAAATAATAATCATAACACCTATCGAATTATCCAACTTTGACGTACATATAAATTTGATTTAGAGAAATATAATCTTGCTAAGATGGTGGTATTATTTTCTGTTTTCCATAGAATTTCTATAGTTTTCTTTTTCTTGAAGGTTTATGTGTTCGAATGTTTAGTTTTTTTATTGAAAGTCTTATTGATGTTGTGTACCACTGTATATATAATCCATGATTCATGTTGATTCTCATTTAATTTTGTTAGGAAGCTGTAATGATCATGCAAAACCATTTTTTTTCTCCATCATATCTTCTAAGAGTTTTATGTTATATTTTTATTCAGTTTTCATTATTTTAATTGTTAAATCGAGTTGTTGTAGATTTTTTTTATATTGATAATTGATAAGGGTTACTTTTTTTTATACATGTATTGTTAATTGTTATTTTTTTATTTAACTTTAAAATTTTTAAACCATATTAACATTTTCTGATTTAATAAATATGTTGATTTGGATCAATCAGATTGAATTTACTTTTTTTATTGGACATAATTTGTTAAATTAACTTTTAATGCTTTAATTATACTTAATAATTTTTGGTTTGATTTAAAAGCTGATGTGAACCAATTAAATCAAGTTTTTTCGTCATAATCATACTTAACATTTTTTTTATTTAATGAATATGCTGATGTGAACCAATCATATCGAGTTTTTAATCCGATGTGGACGCCCACTATGCCATCAACTTTTATATATTATATGATGATGATTTATTTTCAGTTTTTTTGAGAATTTAAGAATTATAAAAATCTTTTTGTAAGTAAAACTTAAAGAAATTTTGATTAATAAATTATTTAATAAAATGGCTTTAAATTATTGATTAGAGAAAATGACATAACAGTTTTAAAATCTACCATTGGTTAATTATTTTTGCTGATGTAGCAGCCTTTAGAAACCTAGAAATTTATCCTTAGGGAAATCTATCCCTTTTTATATAAAGGAGATCTTCAATAAAAGTAAAATTTATTATGTAATCATATTGAATATATGTTTAGAGGAATACAACAGAGATGAATTGAGTGTTTTCATCTCGCTTAATTAATAAATACATCAACAACAGAAATACGACTAAATCAATAAGTTGTTAATTGTAAAGTTGATTAATCTCGTCTTTGTACTTAGCCACGACCTTGTCCCGTCTAATCTTCATCGTTGGTGTCATTAAGCCATTGTCTATCTGCAATGTTGTATCATAAAACAGTTTCCTCAATAAAGGTTTTGGGTCTTAAATAAGCCAAAACATTAATAAGAACTGATTATAATTACAGTGAAGGGCTCGTCCACAATCAAGACCAGTCCGACTTGGAACGAGCATTCTGATGTCCTGTAACATTGTTTAAACACAGTAAATATAAAGATCAAAATACTTTTTATCTGAAGTGAATAACTGCTTTTTTACCATTTCCTCAGTTCTTGGGTAATCAAGCTCTTTAGCTGCTTTTCTTTGCTGAGTTTTGATATTTCAGGATCTACTTTCTCTGCTTCCTCTTTGTTTGGGATAATGATAGCTCCAAGTCGACGTTGATCCTGTGAACAAGAAACCATTTCAAACATCAACAAAAGCGAAATAGCTGATACTAAGATTTTTGTAATGGTCTAAAGAGAATTCAAGAACCTGTCCAATAACAACGATTTGTTCAATCAATCTGCTTCTCATGGCAGCTTCTTCAATCTCCAATGGTTCAACGTTTTCACCTATAGTGATGACAACTTTATCAACAAAAGTGTCCTTGGCACGGCCTTCAAGAACTGCATTTTGAACATGTTTTGTGACTCGGATTATATATACCTGTAGAGAGCACAATGGTGTCCTTGGCACGGCCTTCAAGAACGATGAGACCTCCACATCGACGACTCCTTCCTGTTGAGTGATGAGGAGCGATCCAACCTGTATCTCCTGTGTTGAACCATCCACTCTCATTTAACACTTGCTTTGTGGTTGATGGATTCTGAAGCAAGAACCAACAAAAATGTGAGTTAGAAACCAGATTTAATCATCATTGCAGAAACGCTAAACCATTAGTGCTTAAATGTGAGGAAAAAAGGGAGCGAAAGAAAGAAAAATATGCATTCTCAAGAGCCAGGCAAGCCAATATCTATGCTGATTAGCAGAAGATTCAGAAGAAACGAGCTTGATTGTTAAAACTTGTGTGTAACATTATGAATGAAGTAAGTCATTAATACAATACTACCTTATAATAAACTTTCATAATCTGTGGGCCTCTGACTTTGACAATGCCCTTTGAACCAGGAGGGAGAACATTATTAGTCTCAGGATCTACAATCTTGAACTCTGTACCAGCCATTGGTTTCCCAGCTGAACCAAGAACCTTCATTCAAAACAAAAACAAAAAGACAAAACGAATTACAGTATTAAGTCGAAGAAAATGGACAATGATGGATCAAAAACAAGACAGTTGTGTTCTATTATCTCTGGCTTTTGAATGATTCCGAAGCTTAGTGTGATCAAGAGATAGCTTTTAGTAAAAACTAAAAAAAAGGAAGCTTCTAAGCGTTGCAAGTTCAAGAACTCGATTAGAAAACGGAAGCAGGAACGACTTACATTGCAGCTAAGTGTCCGTGCACAAACAACCGGTGAGGTCTCTGTTAAACCATAACCATTTTGTAGAATCACACCAATAGCCTGCAAGATTTTTGAAACAAAGTCTTTTACATATCAAGAAACTTGTTCATCGGCGAAAAAGAAGAAGAAGCTAAAGATGGCTCAACCTCAAAGAACTTGTCGATATGAATGGGTAAACTACCACCTCCGCTAATGCCAGCCTGTGGAAAACCAGTCTTCTTAACTAGAAATATTTTCGTTAAGAGATATGAATATAAACAAAACAAAATTTATGTTATTACCTTTGATATCCCAATAGACGCATGAATTTTCTTGTATATTAGGATTTTGGCCAACATATGTAGTGGCCACAATAAGGAAGAAACTACTCTCGCCCACAAGTAATCAACCAAAGAAACAATATACATTGGAGGCTTTTGCTCTTTTGTCAGACACATACCCTGGGAAACCAAAGCAAAGACCATATCAAAACTTTCAAGCATCATAAATAGGGATGTAAGAACAAATGTTAAAGATGGAATCATATGTGTCATGAAACCTCGTAGACCCTCTTCATCTCCATATATGCCAGACTGATTTTGATCAATGTAAGTGCTAGAAATTTACGGGCAGCAGAACTTGTGGATATTTGCTTTTGAATCCCACTGCATTGCTCAAAGAGGAAACAAAGGAAAGAGAGAGAAAAAAATGATGTTTATAGAATCCATGATCCATCATTAAGATTATACAAGTACTGTGCAAACTTTTAACTTGAAAAGCGACAAACCTGTAAAGTGTTTCATATACTAAAGGAACGGAGATAAGATAGTGTGGTTGATACCGCTTTAGATCATCCTAATACCAAAAGAAGACAAAATAAATCCAAAAGGAGAAACGTGGAATCATTATTCACTTAGAAAAATTCACATTTTCCCACTTTTAGTGATATGAGTAACCATCTCAGGAAGTGACTGAAGTATCAAAATGATTGCAAAATGCAACGACTGAATAAAAATGGAGGATGAGAATTACCTTTAAGAATCTTATAGATGTGTACATTTGCTCCACTCCACATGTGAATATGAAGTATTCACAAGAACGTTCATAGGCATGCCATGACGGGAGCATGCTTAGAAATCTATCTCCAGCTTCAGCAGGTACATACGCGGATAAATGCTTTATCTGGACAGTGTTCAAGAAAACATCAAGAAGCTCAAAAACTATTCTTAACACGAAAACAGAAGTACTCGGCCTATATTGGCTTGAACCTGGTGTAAGAGATTCCGATGTGTAAGCATAACGCCTTTCGGATTCCCCGTGGTACCACTGGTATACATAATCGCGGCTGTATCATCTGAACCGATGGATTTATAGTTCCCTGTAGTCATATTCATTTGTTAGCATCATGAGTTTTATTCTTTCAGTGCCTTAGGAGAAAAACGTAGATAGGTCCTCAACGTACTGGTTTCATTAGATCCTGCACGTCTCTCCTGTCCTAGGTTTTTAATATCTGTGTAACTGTAAACTGGAATCTGCATCTCCTGCCTAGCCAACGATGACTTCTCACCCCAGAGAAGTATCAAAAACCTCAGAGATGCCTTGGAAGTAAACGTTTCAGCGATGCGGTTGTAAAACTCGGGATTGTCCACAACAAGGGCTACACTGCAATGCAATACAGATCACTTGAAAAATTCTTCATCTCTATATTGCAAAAAAACCCTGAAGAGACACAGTGCATCGAAGGACGAAAGATTTCTGTCTACAAGATAGATGAGAATTTAAGAAGGTGTTTCACTAGAACTACACCTAAATCAGAAACTTCTTTCCTAAACAGGCACACAAAACTTGTCAATCATCAAGAAACCTTAGACTAAGCAGAAGCATTCAGATACTTTAAAAGAAGATGATGCAAACGGTACAAAAATGATTCGAGTATTTATGTTGAACATCAAAAGGACATTTTTTGGCATATACCTTTCGGAATGACGGTATATCTGCAGTAACTCTTCAACGGAGGATCTAGATCCTCTGACAACATTGACTGCTCCTGTGGCCATTATACCTGGCACAAAGTGATAAACAGTACATAAAGATACCAATATCTTCAGGGAGAGAAGGAGAAATGAAAGAGCAGTATATATATAGAACTATTGCACCAAGAAATGAAGTCAAAATAGCTTAAGCAAAGCTAGAACTAAATGAGAGAGTGCCAACTAAAATTCCTACAAGACTTGCTTCTTTGAACATACAACTTTTAACCGAAGGAAAGTACTTTTTCAGTTGAACCGCTTCAGTCATAAAAGGGGAAGATACTAATAAGGTTCTTGAAATGTGTGAAGAACTATAAACTTATAAGGAAGATTAGAAAAGAGCAGAAACATCTCAAAACGGCATACCTTGATCTGAAACGAGCCATCGGCAGGAGTTATCAGCAAAAAGTGCAACCTTCTCATCTGATTTCACTCCAACAACTCGTAAGCCCTCAGCAAAGTCCAAAATCTCTTGTTCCAACTGAAAATGAAATAATAACATGAAGACTTCTGTTACTCACCAAAGAATCAGTATCTACAACAACAAACAAGTAACCAAGTGATTGCTAATGATTTTACATTCCCCAACTAACTCACAAGAAGAAACAATATATGTTGCAGAACAGACAGTTGCAATAACCAGGAACATAGTAATAGTTAATGATGTTGATTCTAGGATCCTAAGACAGAGAAGTACATATAAGTAACAAACACCAATCAAAAATTTGGATCATCTTAACAAGCTATTAGGAAATGACTTTGCAATTTCGTCACCATGTTGTCCACATAGTATACTACAATTTTTTTTAATATGTTATTTAAAGTAACTGGGACATCTATTTATTATGAAAATTCAAGGACTGGTCCCTCTCCTTATTCTTCAACAGAAAAATTAATGTAAAAGTATCATTAAATAAGAAACCTACCTGCTTGTACGTCAACTTCAAAGGTGGATCATGATAAGGATCTATCAATGCAACTTTATCACCATACTTTTCTGCAGATGTTCTCCAGATATCAGGAACAGCCTTCCATTCATTAGAGCGCAAAGCAGCTTCTCCTGACAATGACGACGAGCTTTCAAGGATTGTTGCAGAAGGACTCACTTCCTTCTCCTGAATCATACATACCAAAAATTACATTGACAAAAGACTTATAAAAGATGACACATATCTGAAATCTAAAGATTCAAAGAAGAGCTACACATCAATCAAAGATTCAAATTCCAGGAACAGTTGAAAAATCCAAAAGAATCAACAAAAGCTACAAACTTTTGCATCAAACAAAAATATAAAAGATAATAGCTTTCTTAATCGCTAAACCTGTAATGATTACATAAATAAAAGGACTTTTCTACAGATTATTCAATTCCACAAAAACCCAAAAGCGAAATATCGGTTCTTTAAGATAACGCAAAAGCAGAAACGAAGAAATCTGAACTCGCCTTTGACCCGGAGTGAATCCGAGATCGCCGGAATGAAGGAAATCGAGCTCGGCGACCAAATCCATGGTGGCCCGATATCAATCTAAACCGAAAGTCACGAAATTGATTATAAGAAGAGCCGTGAGAAAGTATAGACGAAGATCCCAGAGAAGTCGAAGCCATCGTTGACGCGCGAGGCAACGAGGAAGTGGAGATGAAGATGGAATAATCCGGTTTCAGATGAAGTGGCATTTTAGCAAGATAAAGACAAAGAGAAGAAGATGGGGGGACCTTAGAGAAGAAACAGAACAGAGAGAGATCTCGAAGCAGGTAAGTTACTAATTGACGCAATCATATCGGTTGTCGTGATTACACACAATCTTCACTGGTGAAGAACATGAGACTGGCCTCATTTTGTATATTCAATTTTCTTCCAAATGGAATTTTTATTATACACTTTTTAGTGTTTTATTTGTTGTTTTTATTTTTATTTTTTTTTATTTGCTCGCATTTATTCGATGCAATCACGTGAATATGCGACATTATTAACTCATTGTTTGGTAATGAGATTGATGATCTATTTTGTTAAGACTTAAAACTGTTATAAACTTATTTGCGTTTGTGTTTAACCAATATTCAAATGCTACACATAACATAGTATTCATTGCAATATTCAAATGCTTCACATAAAACATTTTTAGTTTTATGTGCTTAAAGTTCTGTGGATTATAGCTTTTGGGTAAATCTCCCCTATGATTTGATAGAGAATGTAACTCTATTTTTTTTTTTATAAAAAAAACTTTGTTAGTTAATTAGAGAATGTAACCTTCAATTGTAAGTTTGTAACGAAAAAAATCTTTATTGATTATTTAATTTTTCTTTTTTTTTACTCAATATAGCGGGAAACAAGAAGCAGAAAAGGTATAATAATGATGAAGAACAACAATGTTAAGTAATAGAATAATAATAATCCAGCTTTTCTCATTTCATTTTGTCTTCTTCCTCCTTAAGTCCTCACAGAGTAACGCTCGGAAACTTGCAGCGATCATTTCCTGTGAAAAAGGCTTTATTTGTTGCAATATATTCCCAAAAATACCCTTACTCTGTCACATGAATCATGACCATACGAAAAAGATTATTATATTATTGTCAAAAAAAAAGAATGGCTCACCAGGGTTAGTCGTGGTCTCATGAGCCAGTCCATTGAAGTAACATCGAACGTTTTGGGTACGGAACTGAGCCCAGTACGAGCTAATTGCGTAGCTTGCGTGCCAAGAAATAGAGACCGGCTCGTAACATTCTCTTCCCGGAGCTAAAGCCGCACAAGTCGTGTTGCTTCGACCACAAGCAATCCTCAAAGCTTCATCAAGCTCAGCCTCGTTGGCTCCTTCGACCGGTACGCACCACACTTGACCCTTGTAAGGAACATTGTTCGTCGGTTTAGGCAGAGGGTTGAAACCGGTTAAGGGTTTTTGACCGGTGAAATCTATGTCGTAGATTGGTGTACCGTCAGGATGCAAGATTCCCCAGTTTCTCTGTGTTCCTGAACCGGGTTTCTGGTTTTCGTTGAACAAGGAGAATACAAATGTTGGTATTGGTAAACCGGGTCTAGCTGGTGTACCGATTGGTGGAGTTGCGGTCATCTTCTTGATTAAATTCCGGTTATACGTAGCGGCGTTTAGAACGTTGGCTCCGGTTTCGTCGATGTCGCCGGAATGAGGCCATCCAGTTTCGGAGATCGCGATGCGGGTGTGTGGATAACCGAGTTTGGTCATTGCGAAGATAACCGAATCCAACATTTGGTCAAAAAGATTATGGTAAACCAAACCGGATTGAGTGTCGGTATAAGTTGAGTTTCCTTCGAACAGAGCAAAATCCAGACTGGTGTTCATAGGGTTTCTTGACCAACGGAAGTAAGGCTGAAGATTGACGAAGAAGTAAGAGTTTGTTCCGTTGAGAAACTTCAGCAACGGCAACATCAACGGTCCGGTAATATCTTCCCGGAATGTAGAGTTCGACGGAGGAAATGTCGATCGGAGAGAATCCATGGATAAAGGTGTCCCGACTTTGATGTTGTGAATCCCATGAGATCTTAGAGAAGTCACGATCTTGCGCATCGCCGGTACAAGATTCGCCGTTATGTTCCTGTCTTCAACGGAGAGGACTTCGTTTCCGACGAGGACGAATCGGATTTGGGTTTGTGGGTAGAAAGGGAGGATATTGGTTTGGACCCATTCTTCAGCTGTGGTTTGGTTTGAGCTGAGGGAATTGATTTGGTGGTTAGGGACGGTTATGGTGACGTAGAGATTGGTTTGAGAGAGGAGTGTGAGAGACTCTGGATCGGCGTCATAGAGCTTGACATGACCGGCTTTGACGGATTTGATGAAATTGATTGATTGGTAAGGAGATGGTAGGTTGTTTCCTTGTCTACCATAGTTGATACCAATCTTGCTGGCTAAATCTAGCATTGTTTTCCTCTGTATGTACCTGTTCTGATGCTGGAACCGAGTAGCGGAGCAACATGAGCCTGTAAAAACCAAAGAAAAATAGAAAATTATGTTGAAATGGGATGAAACAAAGGGAAGAATGTAACATATATGATTCTTGGATGGAGAAGATGACTTACTTGAAAAGACAAGGAGGGTTAAGAGGATGAAAGCAAGAAGAGCCATTGTTGCTTTTGTGTTTGGTTTGCAATGTGTTGGTGATGATTTGTGAGAAGGGATGGTGAGGAATTGGAGATAAGGGGATTGATGTATTTAAGTAGCTAGGAGTATGGTGTAGGTTTAGTGTGAAGATTATGGATTTATAATTGAGTCATGCAAGAATAGCTTTTTTCTTGGGTTTTGGTTTCTTTTTTTTTTAACTATATCATAGTTCTTTTGTGCTATGGTTTTTAAAAGATTGTTGGTTGGATGGTTCAAATTGAACCAAGACGCTTTTCTCAAATTTTCACTTAAACATCTTTTTACACATTGTGAATTTTGTACAAAATACATTTGGTGATTGTAGATTGAGAAAAATACTTAAAATGATGATTTTGAGTTATGAAGAGTTTTTTTTTACATTGAGTTGAGAAGACTAAAACATATCTATACTAATGCAAATCGGTGGTGATCACAAGTCACACTGCTAGGCGAAGACATATATGATGGTATGATGATTCAAATAGTATGAAACACATATCATAACATTATTCTATATCTTTACGCACGCCATTTAGTCTGAATGTCCTTAGAGAAGACCAAACCTTGTAATAAGGGACTTATCCAACGAACGTATGCCACTCGCACGACCTTTCCATGGATATCTACTCCAGTCTCATCCAACACGATCATCGTACACCAAATCTTCCGATCGACACGAAAGTTTTTCCTAGCAGACCACCATTTTGGTCTTTCTCTTATATAACAAAAGGATCCAAAACATAAAACCAATCTCTACGCCTTTTCTTTAGAGTCATACCACGTTAACTCAAGATCATGGTTAAACATAGATCACACTGCTTATCACACACGCTCCACTTTTATTGTATACATCTCAAAAGTCTCACTACGACCATCTTATATATGTGTCGTATATTATGTCTTTCCTTTCATTAAAACTGTCTCATACCATGAACGTGAACCTTTCCATCCATGCAGAAAAACGTCTAATTCCCATATAATTTAACAAATTGACAATTTATAAATTATCTATGAACCAATCCTAATAACTACATGAATTATCTTAAATTTTGAAAATACTGTATGAACTAAAGAAATTGCAAATAACGTTATTTGCAGCGTTAGCGATTGCTGACTAAGATGACACATGGTATGGAAAAATGGTCGATTCTCTTATAAATTTTTAAATTTATGATGATTCATATGTGATCTATGAACCAATGCTAATAACGACATGAACTATTTAAAATTTTGAAAATACTATATAAACTAAAGAAATATGGTCGATTCCACCGAAATCATATATGACATTAATTACAGCGTTATCGATTGCTAATTAGGATGATACATAAAATTTGAAACATCGTTTTAGTAAATTGAATCTAAAATACCCAAAATGTCATCATTATATTTTTTGTTTTAAATTTATATATTTTAAATTTATTTAATATATATATATATATATATATATATATATATATATATATATATGGGTTTGTGGATTTTGATTATGATTATGGATCCGACCAGGTTATTGATAATCAGAATCTATTGTTTGGCTATGGATTTTTTTTTCAACGAGCTACCACAATCATAAGAAGATAATTTTCAGATTACGACAAATCAAAAAACTCTGATAAACCCAAATCTGTGTTTTTTCTCTGTTGGGTCGTCTCCTCCTCCAAAATGACTCAATTCGGATCAACCAAATCACCAGATTATTCCTAGACGATCATGACCAGTTGTTAGCTGTAATCATTGACCAGCTATTCAACGCGGCAGCGGAACTAATCGGCAACATAAATGGCAGAGATAACAACATGGCGTTTAAAATGGGTAACTAAATCAATTATTTAATATCAAAACGACATTATTTTAATTTTAATGTGTCGTCCTAGTCAGAAATCGTTAACACTGCAATTAATGTTATATGCGATTTTGGCGGAATCGACTATATTTCTTTAGTTTATAATTTCATATAGTATTTTCAAAATTTTAAATAGTTCATGTTGTTATTAGCATTGGTTCATAGATCATATATGAATCATCAGAAATTTGAAAGTTTATAGGGGAATCATACATTTTTCCATACCACGTGTTATCGTAGTCAGCAATCGCTAACGCTGTTAATAATGTTATATGCGATTTTGGTGGAATCAACCATATTTCTTTAGTCTATGTAGTATTTTCAAAGTTTTAGATAGTTCATTTATTAGTATTAGTTCACAAGTTATATATGAATCGTCAGAAATTTGTTAGTTTATCGGAGAATTGATCTTTTTTCCCCATCCACGCCTACCGCTTAACGAAATAAGTTTGCTGACATGGTGCCTTATGACTGGAAAGTGTAAAATTAGTCCAATCATGCTAATTGACTCAATTTAAAATATTATTGTCTAATTTCATAATAATTGATGTATTAGTATTTTTTTCAAGGAACTATTAAAATCAATAGTTAAGTGATTATAATATTGAACAATTTGTTAAATTCAATTCCGTTAGTTTGAATTACTGAAATGTTTAGGAGCATAAACTTTTGATTTAAAAAAAAGTGACTACACTACTGAAATCTTGATTCACAATTTTATTTTGTTGAAGTCAGAACTGTTGTCGAAATCATTAAGTTTTGTCATGCAATGTACGATTTGAAAGTTAAGCAAAAACATAATATCTACACATGCAATTCGCATAAGAACAAAATTAATTACAGAGATGGTAAATGACAGATTTACTCATCTATTATTGAGTAAAATTTACTTACCAAAAATATTATCAAATATATTTTTTGCTGTATTTTCTTAGTATATATTGCATTATTAAGTTTGGACCGCGCTATGTACAAGTCATATGGACATTCTTAGTTTTATTATAAATAATATAATTAAATCTTACAATAGTATATGATAATCATAAATTATTATAATTATAATCTAAAATATTAGGTAAGAAACTATAAACATGGTCCCAATTCAGATATGAAACTACAAATGTATAATACAATGACATCCATTAATACGAATTAGAATGAATATTTAGTGTTTTTCATAAACATAATGTACTAAAATCAATAAAATTAATATATGTTTTAATATATCATTGTTAAATAAACTTGTGTTTTTACTAATTCATTATTATACAATGATTTATATCAATCACAAGAGTATTCAATAGTTAATAATAATAATATATTAAACATACATCAAACTAAATTCGAAAAATAGGTAGTAAAACAAAAACGCCAAAAATAAAATGAGAAATATGAACCCAGCGAACATAAATTTAAATCCATGCCATTCATGATAACTATCTAAACATTATGAAACACTTCTTCGTAGACAACATTCAGAGTTTTCCATTGTGGTTTGTTATCTTTATCTGATATTAAAATCTTCAACCATGTCCTGTATGTTACTCTTGAAACTGTTACAGATAACTATCCATGTGTAAATACCGGTCTTGGTAAAAAATCTTCCACTTTTGCAAATGTTTGACCTTGACTCTTGTTTATCATCATTGCAAAAGTCAAAGTTATTGAAGTTTCTTAGGTCTCATCCTGAAAGGAGGCCTTGTTTCCGTTAGAGATGTGAAAATTTGAGGTGTAAAAGCGAGACAACATCTTCTCTAGACTCTTGTTTATCGTCATCGCAGAAGTAAGTTCTCTTAGATCGCTCTCTACTTCTTCTTTTTTATCTTCTCATCTTCTCCTTCTTTTCTTATCTGCCTGACAACATGGATCGTGATATGATAACTCAAAGAAGAAAAGAAGAAACCTTGAACATCATCAATGGTTTCCTTCTGGAGAAAGGATTGGTCGTCATTGCTTTTAGTCTTATTAAAGAGGAGTCTACCTTGGTCATGGAAGAAGTTGAGATTGCAGATTAGAAACATTGTTTCAACAAAGGTATCTATTGTTGAGATTGTGTTGTATATATATATTTTCCTTAGAGATTGTGTTTTTTTTTCCTCTTTACTAACCCAGTTTTGTTTCTTGTTGCTTGAAATGTCAATTTAAAGATTGCACCCATAATCCAGCTGATAGAACTTTGTTGAAGGATCACACGTGCAATCTGATTCCCTCTGTAACTGCAAGGAGAATACTATTAAACCCAGGAAACATGTGCTTCTTGAATACATCCTTGCAAAGTCTGCTTTCTTGTTCTTTTTTTGTGCAGCTTATCCAGGATATACAACTCCACCACGTTTAAGAGGTTTTTACCAGTTCTCCTTTAATTATATAGTTATTATCTTTTTCTGTTTACTCATGGTTAGATTTGGCAGGTTCAGCATGTTTATTTCTATTTTTGAATGCAGATCAAAAAATTAAGATAATTATTTTTCAATGGTGACACAGATCAAAATTTATAAATCAAACAGATAATGCAGATCAAGCAGAATAAATACATATTAATATGATTATTTACATATTTGCATTTGTTCTGCATTTTTCTTAGGCTTTGAATGGAAAGCAGATATAGAAAATGCAGATCAAATAAATAATGCAGTTGAAGCATAACAAATCCAGATCAACTGATCTGCATTGATCTGGTCTAAAGGTTTGAATGTTAATACATAACAAATGCAGAACAATTATAAAGCAGATCAATCTGCATTTTTTTTTCCATTCAATTGTTTTATGCAGATCCAAAAATAAATATTAAAATATAATTGGTCTATATGTAGATCAAAATTTTGTTGTCTTTTAGTGACAAAAGCAGAACAAATTCACCATCCTTCGACTTTCAATGGAAGTACAAATTAAAATCTGTAGATCAAGCAGATGATGCAGATAAGACAGAACATATGCATATATGTAAATTGTGCAAATCATGATTAATTATATTAATAAACAAAAAAATATTGAAAATCAGATCTGCAAGTGATCTGGTACTTTTCAATAGGTTACTTCTTTTTGAATGCATATCAAAAAATCAAAACAATAACTGTTCTGCATGCAGACCATAGACTTTGAATGGGGGTGCATATATAATGCAGTATAAATGCAGATCTATCTGCAATAAATCTGCCATTCACAAATTATATTGCAGAACAAAAAAAAAATTTTTTATTATTGATCTGCATGCAGATTTAAAACCAGTGT